TTTTCTAAACCTAGGTACTTACAAAAATTAGGTCCTTACCTTTCTGTAAAATAGCAGTTCACCTTTCAGTTCTCCATGAATTATAACCAGAGAGGAAAGGAAACAAAATGGAATTTAAAGGATATTGGATAAACATTTAAAGGGAGAAACCTGCTCAAATTTCACTGTTCCTTTAGTTCTGATACTTCCTTTACTTCCACTTCAAACAGGATGATAATTATATTGTATCACTACTTCGGTTTTCTTCAGTTAATCTTACAACCTCTTCTTTATCTCTCAAGCTACATTAAACTAAGGAAAAACAAACACTCTGCAGTATAAAACTTCAGATAGAAGCTAAGAATACTAAGGTTGTTGAAACTTGGCCCCTTTGTGCATATGCTATTCTGCTGTTTTAAAGTACGTGTGTGCATTCTGTTTTTCCAAACAGCCTCTGCAAAATTCTGGGAAGAGGACAGAGAGTTTGGGAATGTAGGAAAGCTATCCAATAAATAAAGCTGCTCTCTTCAGAATCCCTAAATTATCTGTTGTAGAATCTGGAAGATTCATAGAAAATAAGGCAAGAGGAAGAATCACAAATCTGTAGTGCTTAACTTTGGAGTGTTACATTTCTTTTAATGTTATTAACTTCGCTCTTTTGCTGCAAAAAATAGAATACCAGACCATATAGATTCTAATTCTGGGCTAAAAGAGCACTTGACTACGTACATGAATTGTTAACCTTAAACTAGATAAACCAGTGGAAGAAAATACGAAACATATTTTGCCTGTGTATTTCAAGGTTGTTTTCTGGACATGAAGAAAGGTAGAGATTGGAAATCCCACATTCAACTCTCAAGTTCTGGCAGAAAGCATTTTCTACCTGGGGAAATGGTCCTTCAACGAGCTCTTTATGCTCGTTTGAACAATAGTGGTGAGAGCTTTCCTGCCCCAGTTTACTACCTGTTCTAGTATCTAATCTGGAAGAGGCCCTCCACATATCCAGTGAGAGCGAGTACTGAACAATGCTCATCTTGAAAGTAAGCACAGTCTGCCATTTTGTGGGCCTGGTACTGGTATATAGGGCAGCTGAAGAGAAGTGACAGAGGATACAGCATCCTCATTGCAAGTTGAAATCTCTAGGCTAAATTTAGCCCTGGGCTCTGAAAAAGGTTTTATTGAGTAAGTACAAATCAAGGGTTTTTGAAAGTGCTGATTTATCTGACAAGGTAAAAAGAACTTGATTCTTGTGAACTTGCAGATGATAAATCAGCAATTCAGGTAAAGGCAGCATAATTCTCCACATTGTGTGCCCTGGCAGCCAGGAGGGCCAACTGCGTCCTGGGAGGCATCACCAGCCAGTCGAGGGTGGGGATTGTCCCGCTCTGCTTGGCACTGGTGCGGCCTCGCCTTGAATATTGTGTGCAGTTTTGGGCACTGCAATATAGGAAAGATATTAAGCCATTAGAGAGTGTCCAAAGGAGGGCAGTGAAGACGAGAAGCAGCTGAGGTCACTTGGTCTGTTCAGCCTGGAGAAGAGGAGACTGCAGGGAGACCTCATTGCAGTCTACAAGTTCCTTGTGAGGGGAAGAAGACGGACAGACACTGATCTCTTCTCTGTGGTGACCAGTGACAGGACCCAAGGGAATGGCTGAAGTTGTGTCAGGGGAGGCTTACATTGGATAGTAGAAAAAGGGTCCACACCCAGGGGGTGGTTGGGTACTGGGACAGGCTCCCCAGGGAAGTGGTCACAGCACCAAGTGTGACAGAGTTGAAGATGTGTTTGGATGACACCCTCAGGCACATGGTGTGACTTTTTAGGATGGCCCTGTGCAGGGCTAAGGGTTGGACTTGATGATCCTTATGGGTCCCTTCCAACTCAGCACATTCTGTGACTCTGTGAATAACCAACACAGCAGTAAATTTTAAAGGAGTAAGAGCAATTTTAGTAGAGTGGTACAGAATGGTATAAACAGAATTCATTGGCAATCACCTCAGAAAAGCCAGGAGTTTAAGGACATCAGAATCAAAATATTCTCTTATTCTCAGACAGTTACACTGTCATGGCAGAATTTAGGTAAGAGCATGTGGTGGCATATGTAGAGGAATTTGACCCAGTATCAACTGTGTTGTTTCTGCACAGTCAGGAATTAGAGAACAGAGAACAGCAATGATTATCACACACAACTTTGGCGAGCAAGAGGTGTTACCCTGGCTTCTGCACTTGGCTTCCCTGCATGCAGAACCTCACACTGAAGGAAGCCTTTCCAGACTGCAGAGTCCCCAGCTGTCATCTAAAACCCTCAGGTCACGTCATTTCATACACTGAGCGACAAAAGACATGACAAGGACAGACAGACCTCTCCAGTCCTGCACTGTGTCAAAGAACACTAACTTCACTTATAAACAACAATAATATGACATAAGCATGGTGGAAAAAAAAAAACAAAAACTCATCTGGATACATGGAATTGCAATTAGAAAAGAACCCTTATTTTTCAGAGAGACTGAGTGCATGGAGAAGTAAAGTATTTTGTTTAAATTCTGTCCTTAGTTACAATGCCACCTGGACAAAAGTTTAGCTAAATTAAACAGTCTTAAGACATTTCTATATTCTGCTGCAGTACATCCAGAATACACCAACAGCACCACTCTGTGGATTAACAGTGAATGTTCTGTAAACTCACAAGTTGGCTTCCCAAGACTCAGACCAATCACACTAAAGAAAAATACAAATACATTTTTAAATATATTCTTAAATTCGACTAAATTACTGTATCAGTGGTATAAACCTGGCACCATTAGAATTTAATGAACTACCTTACCTTTACAGTAGTATAATTGAGAATATAAATTGGCTTAAATATAAATATATTTAAGTTCATGTATGTGGCATGCCCTCTAGTCGTTCACATAACTTAGTATCAGTGAGAGAGGTTGCATGTGCTGAATCCATAACAGATGCTATACACTGCACCAAAATGAGAACTTGACTCTCTGAATCACATCCTAGATTTACACTTGTAGCTCTCATTAGTGGTAGCTGCAGCACAATCCACGAGATTGTAGATCAAAGTACTATAATTTAAACACTTTAGCTAATCTTCAACTTAATTCCTTTAGTCTGCAAAAATGGCCTAGAAGGAGCTTTGCTTCCTGGTCTGGGAAGAAATCAGGGCTGAGGCCGGGAGAAGAAACTGCAACATGAGCAACTACAAAATTTTCCATGCAGACTGACTGTCCCCCACACTGGACACTTCAGCCTGACAGTCAGTTGTCAACTCAATATTGAGTTGAGCTGTAGATGTCAGCCAGTAATCCCTGATGGAGCTCAGTGGGATATAAGAAATATTTCCTACTTTGCCATCTCCAGCTACAGCAGCTTCAAGTGGTGAGTCCACACACCAAGTGGTGGTATGGCAGATCACTGCAGGACTGCATGCTGGCCTTCTGCAGTCCTTGTGAATCCCGTGGAGCCTTTCACGCATAAAAAAGGGGGTGGTTACAGGCATTACAAGGCCGTGTTTTTGCACATAAATCTTACCATCTGTGCCTTGCAAAACTCAAGTTCGTAGCATCATAGAATATCCTGAGTTGGAAGTCCAACTCCTGGCCCTACACAGGACAGCCACAAGAGTCATGCCATGTGCCCAAAAGCATTGTCCAAATGCTTCTTGTACTCCATCAGGCTTGGTGCTGTGACCACTTCCCTGGGGAGTTACCAGCCATGCTCTGGGTGTAGAACCTTTTTCTACTATCAAGTCTAAATCTCCTCTGACGCAGCTTCATGCTATTCCCTTGGGTCGTGTTGCTGGTCACCAGAGCAGTTCAAGTCCTTTGAGAAACCAGGGCAAAAATAAGGGTTCTTGAGGATCTCAAAATTCCTGTTATCAAGTGCAAGGTACAGTCATATCATTTGAGGAGTAGTTACCTTCTGGGGTCCCAAAATCATAGATAAAAATGACAGGAAGGAAAAGCCGTTGTACCACTAGGTTATATGTGGCATATTAGTTTCTGTCTGTAAATCTGAAGGAAATAAGAAAACAAACAAACAAACAAAACACCCCAAACCATGTTTGAGTCTAGTTTTGGTTTGGATGAGAGTGGCCAGCTCTATTTCAGCTTGTCTCTGCTCCTCCAATACAAAAGCATCCAACACATAAGAATCTCTCCTGCTGTTATGTATCTGAAAGCTTGGGCATTATATTAGAGACAATATGCCTTTCTTTGACTGAGTGGATGCATGGAACATGAATAACTCTCATCAAGGTTAGCATTTTTATCAGTCAAGCAGATAATTCTGCTACCTGGTCTGTTTACTATTTTCCAAAGTGTAAATACAAGGTTCAACTTACAGGAAAACCTGAAGGCAGCATCTTTTACACTAGAATAGAGCGGACTTCTTTCTGCTCCAAGATGCACTACAGTGCAAAGGCGGTGCACGGCCCCCACCACTGCCAAGGGAGCTGTTTGAGAGCACACGTTTTAGAGGCCAGGCCAAACTCGGTCACCGATTCTTAGCTGGTACTTTGTTGAAATTGTTAATAACTATTCTCTCGGCTGCGCCTTTCCCCGACACAAACGAGATTCCCCAGCTGGCTCTGCCGCCCGCTGCTCCGGGTGGAGAGGGAGGGAAGGCTGCAACGGCCGCATGCCCCTGCTCTCCCCCCTTCGCGCCCCTCCGCAGGGAGCTTGGTGCTTGGCAGCTACACAGCACGGCCTCAGCTCCCCCCTTCCCGTCAACGCAGTCTACATCCCTGTCGGGAGGGTCCGTGGGCGCCCATGCAAGGACAACTCTCACCCGCCTCGCGGCTCGCCGGTCGCCATTCTGAGGCCCTTGAGGTGCTGAGGAAAGCCGCCGCCGAGCCCTCGCCCTCACAGGGCTGTGATGGCCGGCTTTTTGTTCCCGCGGTGTGTCATGGTTGTTAAAATTAAATAGAGTTATTTCTTGTAGTGGAACCTCTCCTGAGTTAGTGTCTGGTCTCAAAGCAGCAGTGAGCTCCTCACGGCAGGTTGCCTGAGGAGGGCAGCACGCGCTTCCCAAGTGCTGCTGTCATCTTTGCCGTTCCCTTCGGGTTTTGCCGTTTCTTAATAAAACAGTCACCAGGGGGAAGAGCACAGGGAAGTAGCAGCTTTCTGAATTTCTCCATGTAAATTACTCTCTAGGTTATTTTCTAGGTCTCCTTTGAACTCCTGGTTCAAGATCAGAACAAGATCAGTACTGTTCAGTTTCAAGAGAGAAAAAAAATTGTACAAATGTAGCAGGATGCTATTTACCTTTTTGTCCTTCCATGAAATGGACAACTCAAAACTGAACATATGTTTCTGCATATTTGTTGTAATACAGCAATGTGTACAGTTATGTTTGGAGAGATCTGTGAAGCGCAGTGCGGCAGAGCCCACCCCCCCCCCAAGCTCCTGAGGAAAATGGATTTTTTTAATGGGGCTTCCTCATATTGACAAGCAATTTTTCATTAACTTGGCCAACTCTAAATGCAGTGGCTAGTTGTTCTTTGGTATCTAAGGAAGGAGGGCTAATAAGTCTGTGAAACTCATCTTGTCTAAGATTTTTTTTTCCTGGGGAGTTTTAGACTCTGTACGTATATATATATGTACGCATATCTGAGTTGCAAACTTAACGAATTATGACTCCTGAACTTAACATTGCTAGTAAAGTTTGGCATCTCTTAGCCATTAGCAAACCACCTCTTGCACTTAACAAATACCTGGAAAAACAATTTCCTTTTAACACACGACTTCCAATGCCTGGGCTAGAAATGTAAAGCAGGCTGTATAAAGATCAGTTTCAGTGAATGGCTCAATCAAGTCATCTTGAAAACTCATCTGTAATTTCCTACTCATATCCCTCTTCTGTTATCTTGCCTTAGTGTTCAAGTTCCTCCTTTGCCTTCAGTATCATAACCCCAAGTGTATTCTATGCAACTTTCCACACCACCATTTCTTTACAGCTGCTAATTAAAGATCCCTCTGAATAAAGCCCTCTGCTTGAACAGTTGGAGTGCCCCTCTGAAAGGCCCCTTTTGTGGGAGACCATCTTGTGGATCACAACAAAGACAAGGCATTTCAGAAAAGAAACTCTTCTACTTTGTACTGTCTCAAATTAATTAGCACTGCTCTGTTTTCAAGTGTAATAACACTCTGGAGAGGTGAATGGAACCTTTCAGGGAATAAACTACAGCACACCCTCCCACCAGCCTTGAGCAACAAAGCAGACTATAAAGACTGGTCATAAGAGGTGACAGCTGATTAGGAGTGAGGTGGAACTCAGGTGACTGGGACTGTAATTCACACACACCACACACACCCCAACCTCCTAAAGTATTAGCATTTCTATTACACCCGATTAAAAAAGAGGCCCAGAGTGATCCTCACGTTGGCAATTTGTAAATAAAATACAATTAAAGTTATTTTGCCTGAAAAAAATCCCACATTCTAATCCATGTGTTTTCTTGACTTGATAATCACTTCCTGATGACTGTTTCTTGTCCTGCCTGTGCTTTAAATTTACCCTGTATCCCTGGACACCTTAGGATGTGAACATATGCATCACTAGTGAAGAGGCTACATTCATCTAAGTCCATATGCTCGTGTCCATATTAGAGCTGCTGAATTTTCTCCATGAATTAAATGCTCTTGAAAACAGCGTACAGTCAGAACCTATACTGAAAGACTGCCAAAATCCAAGGCCTACATCCATAGGGTTGTATGGGTCAATACTTTATGCTTGTGGGATGAACGTGATAGAGACAAGTTGCCCTGAAGATACCCCAGCTTCACCCCAGCTTCTCTGACAAGCATTCACCCATGAAGCAACTCTTTTGGAACCCTCCTGAGAACAATTCTCTTCTTTCTGTTGCCATCATTCTTCATGTCTTGCTCACAGAAGCTAAGTATAGCACAGTGGGTATAGCACAGTGAGTACTGCAGCTTTCATTCATACCAAAGGCAATCATCTCTGTATTCTCTTTGAGTAAATCTCCAGAGATGCATAAATTCACCATAATTTGCATTTGCTCATGAACAGCATCCCTGTAGGGTTATTGAAATTGCATGTTGTATTATTTGAATCGTTTTAGCTTAGCTGAAGGCCACAAAACCTGAAAGATGGTTTGTTATTGGTTCTTGGCCTTCCTGCCTTGTGTCAAATTTTGCTGTTAAATATATGAATGTAAAACAACCATTGGCTACAAGTAAATTATACTTCTCATACTCAGATCTAACAAAGAAGAGGAATTGACCTATGCATTTTGTTGTCATGTCTTCCATGTATATGTAACCTTTTGGAAAGGAAAATTCATGCATGTGGATTATAAACTCCTCTGAGGCTTTGTTTTTATTTTCAGTGTGAGTACCTGTGCTGCAGTGATTTGATTTGAGCATATGACTGCAGGATATTATTTCATATCATTCAAGTCATTGGGGATCCTGGAGAAAATTCAATTGCAGCAGGACCAGTCTTTGAAGAATGTCACTCTCCGTGTAAGGTGACAGAAAACAGGTATGTTTTTATGGTCAAAAGTAACCAGTGCAGCTGATCAGTCTGCATAGTGAATGCTCACTCTCTCTGTCCCCACTGATGGCAAACAACCTCACTGGCAGAAACCAACCTGGATCTTTTTTTCCCTCAGAAAATTAACAGGAAAACAATAAGCCTGCTGTCAGACAATCTATAAAGAATGAGGATAGTGAAGCGTATCATATTAATTATTCAACATAAACTGTTCACCCTGCTCTTCCAGCAGGCACTGTCTTCTCCTGCTCCTACTCTTTTTGGTTTACCTGCATCTGCCTAAAGTTCTGACTGGACAATGTTGCAACTGACCCCAGTGAAACATTTTCCAGCCGCCTCTGTTTGTTGCATTCATGATTTAGTATTCAGCATACTCAGTTCTGCTTTTTTTTTTTTTTTTTTTGTGCTTGTCTAGTGTCTATGAAGGCAAGATGCTGAGAAATGTGGAAAATAGAGGAGCACAACTGCGGGGAGTGGAGAGCGATGTGGAGCAGGTTCACCTGTGGCAAGATGCAGCTGGCAAAGAGTCATGGAGCCTGATCAAGCAGTCCATTCAACCCATACGTGTCCCAAGAACTTCAGGGGAATAGCCTTTGTGATTTTTTTTCACATAATTAAGATTGTATTGGGTTCTTAAACCTCTGTATAATCCAATAAAGAAAAAAATTAAAAGTTCGTTAAATCCCCTGCATTAAAAGAAATCCTGCAACCTAGCTGTTTACCTCAAAAAGCTCTTTGTAGTGCCTGATGCTCATGTTTTGTAAGTGTTCCCTGAAGACCATTATTCATCAGCACAGAGTTCAGCACAGTCAAATGAGAGACTCACGGTTTGGAACTGTATTTCTGAAAAATCTTGCATGTCTATTTCTTCCCTTGGCCAATTAATATAACTGACCCAGACATCTCTCTGTTCCTGCCTGTTCTTGCCTCCTTACCCTTATCATGCATGACATGAAACAGTATATGAGCTGACAACAAATCTAGATGTTTATGTCTTCAGTAGCATTATTTAAATGAGCTACTCTGACCAAGAGACTTCTGTTTGTCTTCCAGGGACAGATATTTCCATGCTCTTACTGTACTTCATGCTACAATTTCATGGTTCTGCTTCTAAAAATAATTTGCTTTAATTTCTCTCTGTGAAGCCAGTCTAAGGCCTCAGTCTTAAGTTTACGTGTTGCAAGAGAAACTCTGCCTTGATTTTGATTGTTACTTGCACCAGGAGAGAGATACCAGTGTACACCACAATTGTGAAAGTGACGGATCACTGTGTGTTTAACAAAGACCCATCTGCAAGTTGCTAGTTGCACCAGATGTGTTTAAAATTATTAGAAATAGGTTTGTTTGTTTGTTTTGTTGGGTTTTTTTATCTCAGAGATTATAAATCTTTGAATAAAACCAAAGTGGGTGTATTGATTTCTCAAGTATTACCACACTTTCACAAACGGATTTCTCCAACTATTTCCCTGTTTCCAAGCAACCTTGCTGAGGAGAAAGACAAATTGAACATTGTGCTAACAGATTGACATAAGACTTTGACAGCTATTTTTAATGAATGTGAATCTAAATTACTGCACCAACCAGCTTCATTCAAAATCTGTGGTCTCAGCTAATATAATACTTCTAGTTTATTTCTTTTCACTTTTGCCCAAGACACACAATCCACAGAAATCAATCCAGATCTATAATTATTGGCAGGGTGATATGGGCAGCCATGGTACTTATGCCTCTGACAGCTCCTTTCACAAATTGAGGATAATCTGAACTGAAAAGACAAATTGATTATGCAAGTGAAGACAGACAAATGAAGGCAAGAGTGGATTCAGTCTGCAGAGAACAGAAACATTGAAATTTAGTTCCTTTTCTCTTTTGTAGACACTTGTGAGCTCAGTATCTACACAAGTGTGATCAGTCATAGAGATAGGGGAACAGTAGTAAGTGTCGAGATTAAACAAAAGTCCTGCTTCCCTCAACACAGGAGAACAAGCCTCAGTAGATGGTTCACTACACCCACATAATTTTGTTCCCTGGGGAGCCCACTTACTCTTTCCTGCTTCTTGAACCAAACTGTTTCCTTCTGACTGCTGGCATCTTCCCTACAATTTTCTGCTGTACACATAAAACTTGCCAAATAATCCTATAAGGCCCTTATAATGAGAACGCCCTTCTGTCTGTTGTTGCCTTAGATGGTGGTCCTGTTGTTTCAGCTCTGACCTTGTCACTGTGTAAAGTCCAGTAATTGTTCTTTGTGCTGAAGTGGAAATATGAATGCTTAATATATGTTGTAACTACATCTGTGATTATGAGCTGACATAGGTCCTCGTTAACACTGGCCAGAAGGATGCTTTCACTTGAGACCCAATGGGCAATTGTTTGTTGTTATCTGAGTGCGACCCCAGTCAGCCAGCACCAGTTCTTGACCTGTCCAAGGGGCCAGGCAGGGCAAAGCAGGGATTAGGAGCCCTAATTGAGGCTAGGTTTCTCCCAGTTTTGTGATAACTAGAGCATTGTCTCAAACAAAACTATTAGTTAGTATAGTATACTATCCTATATTAAAAATATAATAATGAAACATAATATAATATTTTATTCTGATGAACATTTGCTTCAAAATGTCAGTAGAATATTATGTATTGTACCTCAGAATGGGTCTGTGGTGCAAGCAGCTCAGAACAGATGATCACCACCAAAACCAGTAAGTCTTATTCTCTTCCTTCTATACGGGCTATCTAGCAAGACAAGATCAGCAGTACTTTTCATGCTATTTAAGAGTACTGTCCCTATAATGATCAGAACATGAATTCAGGAATGAGCACTCTTGCTTAGGTGGTAAGGCAGTATGAGCATCTGATGTCCATGAGTTATCTGGACATGTGATACAGAAGGGGCTGTAATTAATCCTAGCAGAATATCAGATGTCCTTTATAAAAAGGCCATGCTTTCATTTGAACATGGAAATATGAGGTAACATATGAATGCCTTATATTAAATAAAAATCAGTGATGATTATGTTCTTTCCCAGCTTAAAATAGAAACTGTGGATCTGTTAATTGCTTTTAATACAGGGGGAAAGGTTTTATGTTTTTCTGTAAAACTATAGAAGCTTTTCAAAACATTTTAAGTGCACAATATGCCTGTTTGAGTAGTATCATTTTCATTTTCAAAACAAAAAATAACTTGTGAGGAATGGAATTGCAAAAATAAGCTTTGTTACTTAATGTTAGTGCTCCCATGGACAAGACAACATACAAAGTCTGTAACATGCAAAACACAGCCTTAAGACATTAACATCAAAATTGGAAAGGCAATTTCCAGCCTGTGGAAATTCCTTTTCCCACATTTGGTATTAACTCATATAGGGAGGTAAGTAGAACCTAAGGCCTCCCATGCCTAAGTTTTGATTTTAGAATATGCAGCCTCACTTTAGATACCTATGTGGTCACAATTAAATATGTAATGGTCTTAGCCATCTAAGGCATGGGTCATTCATAGCTTCCTTTTAATGCCAGTGGAAAAAACTCATCTCTCTTAAATATGAGTCAAAGCGCATGATAAGTTCAGCAGCCCCGTGGTACTGAGGATAGGTGTGACCCAGCTAGGTTGAGTGCTGGATGGCCTCTTAAGCACTCCTTAAGCAACACTTAGTTTAGACAAACTTCTTCATTTTGGAAAAGTACAGATGGCACATTGAAATAACGTTTTGTTTGCTGTAAATATGCTTCATGTGAGCCTGTTTCAAATAATCAATTTAATGTAGGTAGGAAAATCATTTTGGTCTCGCACTACGGAGTCTCTGCACTTTATTCCTTCTCAGAAATAAAGAGGCTGGTGGGTGGCAGAGCAGCACATCACAGGCCAGGAATCAAGTAGCACTGGTGAAGAATGGTGAGCTCAGGCTGCAGCAGAAAGTCTCACAAGAAACATGATTCTTAATGCATCTGTGTGTTTGGGATTGAGAAAAAATGGTACTTTGCACCGAGCATCCAGGTTGTTTCGTCATTATTCTGAATTGGTTGTCCTATTTTTAAGTAAATTAAATTATTTTAAGCATAACTTATGATTTTCAAAGAATTTTCTTCTCTCTATGTCTTACCTGGTTAATGTGACAAAGACACAGGCATAATAGTAGGTTTCCTGACAATCTAAGGCAGAAAAATACTCTGAGATACCATTTAGGCTTCTGAGGAGTTGTTGTATTCAGCATAGTGTGAAGACCTCTCTCCAGACAGTGTAGCAGTCTTGGTTTTTTGTGCTGAGCAGAGTAGATTAAAGGTTTTCACAGATATTTTCTGTCACTGGAGCATTAGATACAGATATTAAGTACTGATTCCCCTGAAGTAAATTCAATCTTTTTGTTAAATACTGAAAATACTAGTTTTTAGACACTCGTCTGTGTATCTGCAGGAGGAATGTTTTTAGTGGAAATCCATGTTTTTCCTTGGTAAAACAAACAAAGAAACAAACAAAACAAACCTGTTCTAACTTCAAACCTTAAAATATAAGGGCTTCTTTCTTATCTTTACCACAGGCAGCTGACTTTCTTCACCTCCCAAGTTCCATGGAAAATATTACCTTGAGTCATTGTTTGTCTCTTTCTTTCCTTTTCTTCCTTAAAGACTCTTTAAGTTATTCTTCCTAGTACTCTTTATCCTGAAAAAAATGTGGTACCTGACAGGCTGCTTTAGTTGCAGAGAGGAATAAGTTCAATGGAAAGACTGAACTGGATGCATGTAACAGTCTAAAATGCTTTTTAAGTGCATTTAAGTGGAAAAAAAGCACCTTTTATTTCCACAAATAAGATAATTAACTGAGTCTGTTCTGTTTTGAAGGAAAATCAGTATTTAAGGAAGGAACAGAACTGCATTTCTGTGGGGTGGAGTGCTGACATTGCCCTGCATTCTTCTGTGCAAAAAAGAGCATTGAGAACAGTATCTTTATGCTATCCCTGCAGTCAATTGCAGTAGACAGGGTGCAGCCCTCAAAGTGAAGCTGTCTGGATGCAAGTGGAAAATGCTACAGAAATTCCATTTGTCAACATAAATCTTCGGTGAATACGTGTCCTAGTAAACCAATTTCAGTAATATTAAGTGACTTTTACCTAAGGTTTGTTTCTCAAGGTTGTTTCAGAAGGGGTTAAACAAGGGTACTGGTTTTTAACTTCCAGAATATGTACATTTCCAGTAATCCATACATTGAGAAATCCACTTACAGAGATCAGTGGGAGCAAAATACACAGAATCATGGAACTGCTTGACAGCTGGTCTGCAGCACTTGCTGGCAGCAATTTCTTCAACCTTCATAATCTGAATAGAGTGAGCACGGGCACGGTAACGGGCTCTCATATCATGGTAGCATTGAGTGACAGCACCAGCCATGGTCAAATCTCTGTATTCCCTGTACATGGAAAGCAGCTGTATCTGTGCTATGTATTAGGTCAAATTGTAGTAGAAATTTCTAATTTCTCTGAAGTTCTAAGGAATCATCATGAAATATGGAAACAGATTTTCTTGGTTTGAGATAAACAAAAATTATATATTAGAAAGGAGCCAACAAAATAATAAGAAAGAAGATTATTAAAACCCTAGACATATTAAGAAAAAAAATGTGTATGTAGTACATCACATATTGTATCATATCATATTTATTATATTAATTACCTGAAGGAAGACTCCAGATTATATGACCTCGTCAGCTGCCCACAGTTCAAGATACAATCACTCAACTCTGAGAGTAGAATTGCTGTGGGAGATCCTGAAAAAAGTAATACATATTAATTATAAAAAAAGGGGACAGTTTA